CTCCACTTGCACTGTGCCATGTTCAGTGGGAGCAGCCTTTGGATCCTTCCTTGGGCGTGAACACCTTCGTTGGGAGATATTACTTCTCCGTATCAGGTATAATCCTTCCCACTCCTTTTTGGTTCAGATCTGGTTCAGTTCATGGTTCAAGATTGATCATTGGAAATATGATTTTCTAAATAGGGAATACGATTCCCAGTTGAAGGGAGAAAAAACTTTTTGAAATTCGCCCCTTATTCCGCAATCTTTGGGCGTCCATAGGATGGATCTCTCATCCCTTCAAGACATACCTAATCCTTCTTTACATGTTGTTAAGTCCAAGCTTCATAAGCATTTCATGAGTCTGTCTTTTGATTTTTATGATATTTGATGGAGGAGTCTCTCTTATTATATATATTTTTCTCAATGGGTGCAATCACCTGCATTTATAAACGCAAGTCAGTTTTTAACTGACTTCGTATTTTCAGTAGTTAATGCCATAGAAGGGAATAGAAACATAGAAAGTCTTCAGTTTTTTGGAATTCCTTTATCGATGTGCTATATTGTTGCATAATTATGTTTGCCAAAAGTACCTCTTGGCAATGAAAATGTAGTCTCTTATTGTTTTTTATGGTATTACTTTATAGGATACATTTTAGACTAAATGGTTCCTTGAAGTTCTCATTTGGATTCTTGTCTACTTACCTTTGCTCCTGTATCCACTTTATTCTACAATTTTACTGAACCTATTATTGAGGCAGAACTGTGGTTTCTGTTCATTCCTATGTTCTTGCATTCCCATGGAACATCCATACTTAATCCAATTCTGTGTCGATCCTTTGACCACTATAACCTGCATATTTATATATTTATGTCCTTTGTGACTTTGAATTTGTCTCTTATGGATGGGGTATCAGTTCCATAACCATATTTGAGGATTGAATGGCTTACTATGCCTTGCTTTTATTTTTACATTTCTGAGGTCTATTCTACCTCATCAATTATCTATAGCACTTTATGCAACATTAACATTTTCTAGTTTCCCATTGACTAAGAATAGTGGCTTGATAATTAGAAATAGTCAATGGTTCCAAACTTGAAAGAGAAGAAATAAAAAAGAGGAAAAAAGCCACAAAAAAATTAAAAAACAACAAAGGTTTGTTGCCAAACTAGGTGGTTGCTCTACAGAGGTTGTCTGAAATTGGCCAAATGGGTAAGAACTTTAAGAAAACAAATACTATTATCCAGTATGCCAATGACTTCCTGGAACGGCACCATAAAAATACCAACATTTTGAAGAACAATAAGGTTGAGTTGTGTACTCTCTCCAAGGAGGTTTCAAAGAAGCAGGATAACATTAATCATATGTAGACTTATGTTCACCTA